GGAAGCGCTTTTGGAGACACTCGTCCCGGTAAATTTGCCCGTTGATGGTACTCGTCGTGATGTACGGCTGGCTCATCTTGCCGCACCCACAGATGGCCTTCCAAACCAAGAACTTTTTGGTGAATTTGTCCACCTTCTTCTTCCTCACCTCCATAGGAACGCCCAACCGTGATGTGGCAACGTTAAACTCCTGCCTTGTGTCCGCCTTAATGTAAGTCTCGTCGTCCATCACACACGTACAGTTTCCTGAAGCAGGTTTTAGCAACCGTGATTTGTTTGTCGTAAAGGTTCGGTGCCTTCCGGACTTTGTAGACGTGGATGCCGGCACTTTTCAGCGTTTTTTGGACAAACCAAATGGAAACATCCCATGGCCATCACGGATCGATAGATTCGGCCGACGCTTGAGCAGACTCAACACCTTCCTGGCCTTCACCGGGTCAGCTGTCTCCGGTTTTCTGACGCAGCAAGCCTGCCGTTGGGTCATCTGGGTCTCCTTGAATGGCTTCACCCGATCCATCTGTGGAATGCAGTCGGATTTTCCACAACGACGGACAAGATTTGTTGGCGGATCTGCTCTTGCCATCTCGATAACCACTTGACAGATTGTGATGAAATTCTGCCAGCGTAAACACTCTTAGCTAGTTTCAGTCAAAATCTGGTAGCCCTGGTGCTTGATCATTATAAATTCATGAATAGGCAATTAAAATACAATAACGGATTTCTTTGAAAAATAAACGTTAACGATTAACGTCAACGCCGTTAATTTTATCTTTAACTTTAACGTGTTATCGTGACGCGTTAAATTCACCGACAAACTTATAAACGATTAACGAATCTAACTTCTGGATTAACGGTGCCCACCACAGTCCAGATATAAAGGCTCGTTGTCACATACAATTTCGAAATGGAGGTAATTCATTTTGAACAATATGATCAATTCTGATTCCACGGGCTGTTTTCAAACCACGTAAATAATTTAGTTGCTATTTATGACTGCCAATAATGATAAAATTGAATTCTCATGTAATTCGATGACGCTACATGATGAGTTTTGGATCATTTAAGATTCTAACCACTTTTCCGAGGGTACTCACATCATGTAGGGATGTAACCAATGCGGACCTGGGCACTCCAATTGACTACCAATAAGCTTGTGATTTGATGTTTTGTCTGCTGGGTTGTGATTCGAGTCAGATCCCGAGCAAAGTCCAGCATCAAAATGACTGCAAATTGAAATCAAGTTTTAATATCAACATCAAACTGAAATCATTATTTGATTTCAGTTTACGCAATTGACAAATTTGATACCAAATTTTGTTTTCATTTTGCTGTACATTTGCTCTTCAAAAATATATTGTTGCGGGTTTGTTTTCATTGCCTTAGCATATAATCAAATTGAATACTAGTTTTGTTATCAACAGGAAAAATAGATATCAAATTCAGTTTTCAGTTTGCTGTCACTGATAGCAGAATTAGTTTTCAATATGATGTCACAGCAAGTTTTTTTTGCTCTCAATTTTGATATTTTAACCGTTAAAACGACCAAAATGACAGCAGCCTGAGTAATCATTATAAGCGAAATCACAACATCAAATTTAGATTTCAATTTGATCATAGGCTTTGCTCGGGATTCCAACCTCTTCTCAGCGAGTATCCAGAAAATGTCTGGGTGTGGTCGTTGTGGTCTTGGGCATTGTACTCGATCACTAATGATCTTGTGATTCTAGGAACTCAACTTGTGCGCCAATGATCTCAATTTTCAATTCTCATGTGATCTGACTTATTTCAAATTCTGGCACTTCCCCGAGGGTCCTCTGTTTGACTCAGGTCAAATTCTGGCAACTTCCTTAGCACTTTTTTTCCTGGATTTGTTTTCCGTCGATCTCGTTTTCCGTACTGTATACCAATTCTACCGACGCCATGAAGACAGCTCCCACACCTGGACCCTACCTATCAACCAATCAACTCATAGACCGGGGACCAACGGCTTTACTTCCGAAGGAAGGCGTGATCAGAGATGTTAAACCTCAGAACATCCTGGCGGCGCCGACTGTGATTGAACCCAGGCCTTTTGGGGTGAGAGGCAATCACGCTTACCACTTGACCTGTTCACAAATGATCGTGCTTCCACCGAAAAACCGAAATGAAACTTAAACTTAGCTTTTGATCATATCTAGAACGGCCTATTCAAATGGGCAGCGATCCGATCTGTCAAAACCATATTTTGAACAAATTAAAAAAAAAATGAGTCTTAGCGGCCCAAACCTGTCCAATAATTTTAAAAAAATCCCCTACAGTCCATTGGTAAAACTGGCATTTAATTTTTTGTAGAAAAAATGCAGATGATGCAAGAAATCCACACTGATATTTGATGTTCATGTCATTTGTTTTGCGTGTATCATACACGCAAAACAAATGACATGAACATCAAATATAAGTGTGGATTTCTTGCATACACGGCATATGCGTATAATAATATTTCGCCGCATGAGCAGATTTAGAAAGGTGGTGTCAAAGTTCAAGGAAATTCTGAGAAGAATTCTCGCAAAACATTTCAAAAGGGCCTATCCTCATCGATCGATTCTCTTCATCGACTTTCTCTTTGGTTTACCACGGACAGTGATGGAAAATCATTTACATTCATTTCGTGCATTCATTTACATTCATTTGCCTCTAACTTTTTTCACAAACAGAATTCCGTAAAATAGCGTTTGAAGCTTTTGTTAGCACAGTTAGACAGAAAATGAAACAACACGCTCAATGGGAAACTCATTTACAGTCGAGTTATTCACGAAAGATAAAATCGATGAAGATAATCAATCAACAATGATAGGCCCTTTTCTCGTGTTGCGCGAGAATTTCAAGGAACATCTGATACCATTCGAAGGGAATTCTGATGAAAATTTCATGAAAATTCGGAGGAATATTCCAAAGCAATTGCAAGGAGTACTCCCAAGGAGGTTTGGGCTGGTTTCTAAGAAATTTCAACACCCAACCGGTGGATGTAAGATTCGCTTACAATTATGTGGGATTCATCATCAGAGGATGTAAGTGGAGACCGCATGAACCGAGGATGCGATATACCTAGCTGCGGTCCAATGCAAGAAAATTGGAGACCGAAAAATGTAGAGTGTATTAGTGAGGTAAATTAATTATGTCGAAAAAAATAGGAAAAAGGTTGCCGACTGGACTCGAACAACGAACGTTCCGATTATCAGACCTGTGCTTCCTCCACTGCTCTCTCCATACTTCTGAATAAGGAGAGCCTAAAAGCAAACAAGAAGCGCTCACACTCGACTTTGTATGCTTTTTCTGCTGGAGAGATTCGAGGCAAGTGTGTGCGTCGTTCTACCATGTTATACATAAAAATTAAGGCAAATGCTTGCTTGTGTAGATGAAAGCACAAACAGAACACGAAATAAAAAAGGCAAAAAACCATTACATCACCTGCAAGGTCAACTTCTAACATTCGCTGCGATATTCATGAACAGAGGATGATAGGAAATGGAACTAACATTCATTGTAATACATTTTTGGTTTGCGTGAAGGAAAATTACAAGTGAAATTAATTCTGAGATAACATATTTAAAGACAAAAGTGTATGGACCGTAGACACTCGCTACCCGAGCAAAGTTAGAGATCAAATTGAAATCAGAATTTGCTGTTATGATGTAACTTATTTTGAATACTCCATTTGATTTCATTTTGGTTGACTTAACGGTTAACACAGCAAAAATTAGAGCAACATTTTACACTGTTGAATTATGATAGGAACTGCAAACTTTAATATCGATTTGCTTTCATTTTGTTAACCGACTTTGCTCGGGTACCTCTCCCCCTTAAGCTGTCTACGTAGTTTAGAAGCAGCCCCCAACATAAAGAAAAACGTTGAAGGACTCAAATTTGAATTGTAATGTAATTGTACATGGTATTTTTGTATCATCGAATGTTTCTGAAAAAGACAATGCAATTTTCTTCCCAAGCTGTTGATTATTCACGTTACTTCTCCACATTTGTTTAAAGCACTAGCATTAATTGGATTACTTCAATATGATGGCTACCAAGCCTTTGGGGATTTTTTTTTTATTATATAGCTGCGCAACGCAACTCATTATATAGCTGTTTAGAATTTATACTAAATTCTGAGGTTATTAGTTAGAAAAGCTTCCCATTCTGCTGCACGTTGTAGTTTCATTTTTATATTTGTGATCTTGAAATGTTACCGAAGAAATTTGATAAGTCTTTGGTGGAATTGACACTTATGAAGACTGCACATTGTAGTCGAAATACGTATCTGTCATAGATACCATAATTAATTTAGTGGAATTAAAAGGAAGATAACATTTTTTTTCCGTAAATTCCACTATCAACCCAATTTCATTACTTCAACACTAATATTAATCTGCAAGCTATTAACTCGTTTAACAACAGATTTGATATGTCTTACTCAACCATTACACACACCAACCAACCACTTACAATCACCGATCACCACTCCCTGACGTTGTTGTCTTCGTCGCGTCGATAATCGGCGACAGTTGCGAGCTGCATCATCGTCATCGAAGTCCGTCAGGTTGGACCGCGCGTAATAATAAATTCTAAATCCACAACGCTGACATCATCCGCGCTTCAAAATTCGAAATTAACAGCCTGCGCAAACGCCACCCGTCAATCGACAAAATCCTCCCCGAAGTTTGTCTGAGTTTCATTCGTGACTCCTCTCCGTGCAGTGTATCCATTTTTTTCCCGCACGTCTTGCCTTGGTATCGCTCTAAAAGACCTAGACTCACAGGGACATCGATAAACTTTCACACGAAGACCGGTAAAATTGAAAGCCAATCGTACAGATAGCAAACAATTGTACGAACTGAATGATTTGTGATTTCATTCATGAAAAAAGTGCAATACTGACGAGGGTTTTGGGATTCAAGTTTACTCAGCAAAGTACCTGTACCATCAGTTCATCTTACTAACACATTTTATTCTCTCAATCTTTGCAGGTTGTAATATTTAGTGACGAAACATATTGTTTTTTTATACGTTAGGAAACAAATTGTGGTTGTGTGTAATCGAAATTGAATGTGAATGTGAATTCAAAATTGGATGTAATCAAAATTCGTTGGTGATAAATCGTTGAGTAATCTGTTCATATCACGGAAAGCACAGCACAGTGGTGGATTAGCTGTTACCATCGGTTCCAAATCGAAGCTATCAAAATTCAGGAAGAAGCTAAAGGTGGCAGAAAATGTCATTTCGCGTCGTGAGAAGTTCAAAATTTCGGCACGTGTACGGCCAAGCGCTGAAACGGGAGCAGTGCTATGACAACATCAGAGTCTCCAAGAGCAGCTGGGATTCCACGTTCTGTGCGGTCAATCCGAAGTTCCTCGCCATCATCGTTGAGTCGGCCGGCGGTGGTGCCTTCATTGTGCTGCCACATAACAAGGTGAGTGAAAATGTTGTGAAGTTCAGTGCACCATTGGGTAACCTTATGAATTTAGGTTCTTCATGGTGTCGAATATGTTGAGGTGACACACAAATTACAGATTAAATGTTGATTTTCAACCCGTATTAAAAATAGCTGCCTTTAATTTTATTGCCATGCAAAACATTGTTTTTCCTTTTAATTCTACTACTATTTTGTCACTTTCACTTTAGTTACTACTTTCACTATCACTTAAAAAAAAACTATAGTCGATACGTGTTTAATTTACTACTTGAAACTTCTTCAGTGTCTAGTCATAGTTTGCAAGTAGTAAACGAAATACGTATCTGCTATAGTTTTTTTTAAGTGATAGTGAAAGTGAAAAGTGAAAGTAAAAGTGATACAATAGTAGTAGAATTAAAAAGAAAAACAAAGTGATAAGGAATATAATTATCCCAAGTAACACTTGCAACATCTTGCATGAAAAATAAAAAATAAATCCAGTTGTAAATTAGTTATATATTAATTGCTTCTAAAACACCCTGTTTTAGACGCGTTGTATTGTTGTTTGTGAAGTATTCAACCTTTCTGACAAGCACTTGTTATCTTGAAGCTATAATTCGGTATTGCATGTCTCAATTACCAGTTTATAACACATTTATAACTGATTGTATTTGGTGAAAACTGGCTAGCCTTATATACAACATGTTTTCATATGTCATTATTAGAAACATGAATACATCTGAGATATAACTTATTTATAACATGTTATTAATAAGCTATAATTCAGTTGTACTCATGTTTCCAAAAATGACATATGAAAACATGTTGTATATAAGGCTAGCAAGTTTTCATCAAAAACTATCAGTTATAAAAGTGTTATAAATAGGCAATTGAGAGTTGCCATACCTAATTATAACTTCAATATACGATACAAGTAATGTTCTTGTTTTTCGTGTTATAAACATGTTTTGATAACAATTATGAAATTTCTCAATGCATTCTACAAACTGCACTACAATATGGCTGAACAATGAAGCAATGTATAGAATGAAAAAAAACATTTAATTTGTGTTTCTACATCACATGTACGTTTTGTAACAGAGAAAAGTAAGATAATTAAAAAAGGAAGTTGATATTCTATTTTTTTTTTTGTTTTTTGCAAAGTTGGGGAATTTTATCCAGGATTTTTTATGCAATTCAATTTATAATATTATGCTTTTTCTAAGAGCCAATGAGTTTTTTAGAAGTAGAATGTATAGATTTACCATAAATTTGTAACCGCATAAATGTTTGCAGTACGGATTCTAAGTTTAGGCACTTTATTCGCACGACAAAATTCCTCAGAAGAATAAGTTGTGTACATTGATGATACAAATTCCATTCGTAGGATGCATGAAATTAATTTACAACATGTCCAATACAGTAGGTTGCGTTATAGTCATAAATAAGTTGCGCAAGTCAAGCATATGTTATATATAGATCCCATCTCTTGCGCTTTTTTCGGTATAAATAAGTTGTATATAAGTGATTAGACGTACACACTAATCGAGTCAGTACTGTTTTACCGAGTTTTTGAATTGCGGAACTGTTCGGTAAAAGTTTAAAAATCTGTGGAAAATTTATTAGTGAGAAAATTTGTTCTGAACTTGTACATACTTAGTTCTGTTAACCCCATTTAGAGATAGAAAATAAAATTGATTGATTTCATTGATTCCTTACGGATAACGGTCATTTGAATTTTTACCGACTTTTTCAGCAATTCAAAAACCCAGTAAAAAAATACTGACTCCTGTAAAAAAATCTAAGTGTGTAAATGTTTACCGCTGATATTGTCATAAATAAGTTATGTAAACCCGTTTATGACAAATTGTGTTGCTTGGGATTCTACTAAATTGCTCATCAATTAATTTAGATTGTTGTTTGTTAACCAATCGAAGACGTTTTTAGGAGTTATGAAATAGTTATGGTAATTTTTGGTTCCACAGAATTGCACGAAATTTTAATATAAAACTTCTGAGATATTGACTCACTGGTATAGCAAAGGAGGGGTTATGGGTTCAAATCCCCCCTCCCCCTTCTGTATCTGTTTTATTTATACTAAGTGTGGGTCATGTTTTACACTTTTTCATATGCGAATCAATTTGAGGGATTTTTGCTATCAAGATCAACAACTGAAAAGGCTTCATCAGCGTTTGGAAGCACAACTTCTTGCGGCCTTTTCGCGTAAATCAGAGCTCGTCTGCGCATACCAACATCACTATCGGGTTTGCATATATGAGCTCCGATTCACGAGAAAAACCCGTTTTGTTTACAGGCCTTTTCAATTGTTGATCTTAACTTTCCGTATAATCCTATTGAATGAAACATATCGATGAAATGTTATTTGCTCAAGATCCCCCGATGGCAAGAAGATCACAGGTTCTATTCCAAGGCCCATTACATTTCTGAGTTCATAGTTTTAAAGGTCGTATTACTTTCCAAAGTGTATTCATATCTAATTCATACTTCCCACTAACAAAAACGCCCTTCGTGTGACAACCATGGAGCCAGAAGTATACTCGGTTTCTTGTAAGAACGGGAATCTAACTAACAATCTCCTCCTGGATAACCGTAAGGATTTTTCCGGCGCCTGTAATGATCTTGAAAGTACTGGTTTGCCTGACTCGTCAATGCTCCTACTATCTACTCATGCTCACATTGCTTGCTCGTCCTGTTTTATGATCTAGTTGCCATCGTCGGCATCACCTCGATCATAAGTTGAGTGTTATGATGTGACGGGCTCGGCTGCCTTAGACAGCCGTTTTTGCTTACTGAGCAGGAAATCGTGGGATCAAACTCAGGACCCATCAGTCACACTTAAAGCTTTTCGCCGAGATTGCAACAGCCGAGTAGTAGTAGCTGAGATTCAGTAAAACAATTGCCGAGACTCAGCTAACAAATATCATTATGCTGAGATATCAGTTAAAAAACAGATATTTTGCAGATATAGGGGAAATGGAAGTAATGTTGGCCTAAATGCCCCTAATTTGGGACCATACATAAATTCAGCAATCGACTAAATTTTCAATAGCGACCAAAAATATCCATTGGTACCGTCTCAATGACGCGTTCATCTAGATAAAATTAATAAATAGGGGAAATAGCCCTATTGTTGCGATAAGTTAGAAGCGTCAGAAGCTATTGTTGTGTATGGAGACCTCCATACACAACAATAGGCTTCTAACGCTGCTAACGTACCGCAACAACATGGCTGTTTACCCTAGCAAATTTTTATCCATGGGCCCAATCTTAGATACTTAGGCCAACATTAGAACCATTTCCCCTATCAGGAAAAGTAAATGCCGAGGTAATCGGCTGTTGGAGATTTTACCGAGCTAGATTAAGTGTGTTTAAAGGAATTTTTAGTCACATTGCTTGCTCATTGTGTGTTTCGTAAAACTTGTCGTCTTCATCAGTGCCGAGTTTGAATGGTTCAAACAACAACTCGGTCATATGTGTTGTGCTGTGATAGGAGGCTCGGTGGCTTTAGAGCAACCGGTTTTGTTTACTGACCAGAACATCATGAGTTCAAGCTCAGGCCCTTTCACATTCAACATTCGTCAGTGGTTTTCATTCTTAAATTAAACCCAGCACTTTAATTCAGCGTACCGTATGCCAAAACGAACCCTGCTGCAAACCCGACACGAGCAGAAAATTTCTCGCCTTCAAACAAACCGAGTATCACGTCAACACATTCCTACCTATTCCATAATTGACCTGCAGTCGGACGTGGCCAACGCGGGTGTTGCTTAATACAAAGTTTGAGATCACCAGTTTTTACAAATTGAGGATGTAGGGTAGAGAACTACTTCGGCCATTTTAGGCCTATCAAGCAGAAAACATCAACTCAATCCATGATTTCAGCGTTAACAGGTAAATTATGCGCTTGATACGATACGTTAGTTCAAATGCTACCGAACGAAGTCAATACCCGAGCAGGAACCGATAGCTAATCGATGTCAAATGAATATCTTAATATGGTATGATACCAGATTTCGGTATGCTTGTGGTATAAAACCTTGTTTTGATATTATTCAGTTATCAAAATATTTTGTAAAATATCAAATGAATACCAAAATAATAAAATGTAATCTTTCAGTTTTTAGACAATAACATCTAAAAGAGTAAATGAATTGGTATTAGAAGACCTTCAAAATAACAAAATATGGTATTCTGGCATCTAAAAAAGCGTATGTTATCCGTTTGTTATTGTAATAACTAAATTATTTATTAGTTTGTTATTCGTAGAATATTTTTGAAGTATTATTTTTGGTATTTTACCTCTTATGTCAGCCTCACTAATACCACATTTAGGTTGCCAGTTATGCTATTTTCATACCTGAATTTGGTATTAATAAGTTATTTTTCCCTGTTCGGGTAAGAACGCGTGATATGAATGTTTGCACCGCATATTCTCAAAAACAAATGAAGCGCTCCGACCGAATCAATCATCCGATAGGCCGAACTGAATTAAGTGGCGTTTCAATGCGTTAGGCCGAGTTTAGAATCCGTGGGCTGAATTTGGCGTCAAGAAGCAGTGTTAGGCTTTTAAAAATATCTCAATAATTTTTTTCTCTTTATCAAATCATACGGTACCGTACGGAAAGGTAAATAAATTTGGAAGCCATCAGTAATAATAACATTCCGTTTAGTGCTAAAATATGCAAGATTAAGAAAGACTAAGTGTGCGTTGTGCTTAATAGGCTGGAAATGGGGTAGTTAACCCTACTATATGTTTGTTCTCTGAGTAATTACAGATTATCTGGCAATAACGGAGTAGCAACGACGGACCATCAATCATGTTCATGTTCTCAAATTAATGGGTGCAAGTGCAAGTTTCATCGAGGTTTTAAAGCATTCTACAAGTCTAAATCACGGTCTATAGAACCCTCATAAAACCAAAATTGTTACTGGGTGACTTACAGTTTATTATTTGAGTAATAGGCTATATATTAGTTGAAAATGCGCTTTCGTTACTT